CGAGAGCACTACCTTTACGAGGTGCGCCGAGTTCACACGAAACCTCCTCATCAGTAGATGTCGCCACACGCGACAGGTCGGAGATCTGAAACAAAGCTCACCCATCGCCGGGTTTTTGGGTGGCAGAGGCATGACTCCAGCTCATGGCCACTGCCGCTTGCTTGAAGCTGGAGTCAATGAGAGCAACTCGGGCCCGCCAAATACAACCAAACCATAGTGCCTCTTCGCAGTGGACTGCCCCATTTTGCTTGAACAACATACAGCTGCCGAACAAGATTATGCTTGTGCGCAATTTGCTTGCGCACAGTTTGCTTGTGTAAATTTTGCTTGTTGCACACTTTGCTTGCATATTTTGCGTGTTGTACATTTTGCTTGTACAGTGCTGATTTAAAATAACCGGACAAAACGCGTTAAACTTGAAACTCAAAACGCATTTTCCACAATTTGGGTTGAGTTTACGTGAAAACTTATGAAGACAAAACTTGCTTAAAATTTTAGCAGAACTAATATGGTGTAATTGGTTTTGCGAAATTCGGGTCCGAAATTTATCCAAAAAAAAGGATCATTTTGGCTTTTCTTAGTTAATCAAAAATTACGCCAAAAAAAAACCCAGTCGATCACAGATACAATCATATTGAAGTGAGCCCCTTACTAAGTCCAACAAACATTAAGAAGGGTATACTCTCCAAAAAAATTTGCAAAATGTTTAAAAATTGCTTTTAAATGAATAGTGGATATTTTTTATAGCAATAGCGACCTTTTTTGTCTATCAAACAAAAAAAAATAACATACACATTGTTTTGGAGAAAATGCATAATTTTTGATTAACTAAATAAAGCCAAAATGGCCCTTTTTTGGGGTAAAATTTCGGACCAGAGTTTTGCAAAACAAATTAAACCATATTAATTCTGATAAAATTGTAAGCAACTTCTGTCTTCATAAAATTTCACCTAAACTCAACCCAAATTGAGAAAAACGGGTTTTAAGTTTCAAGTTTAACGCGGTTTGTCCGGTTAATTGAAATCAGCACTGTACATTTTGCTTGCACATTTCGCTTGTTGTACATTTTGCTTGTTGTACATTTTGCTTGTTGTACATTTTGCTTGCACATTTTGCTTGTTGTACATTTTGCTTGTTGTTCATTTTGCTTGTTGTACATTTTGCTTGTTGCGCATTTCGCTTGCACATTTTGCTTGTAGATTTTGCTTGCACACTTTGCTTGTTGTATATTTTGCTTGCATATTTTGTTTGTACAATTTACTTGCACATTTTGCTAGCTGTACATTTTGCCTGCACATTTTGCTTGTTGTACATTTTGCTTGCACATTTCGCTTGTTGTACAATTTGCTCGCACATTTTGCTTGTTTTACATTTTGCTTGCACATTTTGCTTGTTGTACACTTTGCTTGCACTTTTTGCTTGTTGTACATTTTGCTTGCGCATTTTGCTTGCACATTTTGCTTGTACATTTTGTTTGTACAATTTACTTGTACACTTTGCTTGTTGTGCATTTTGTTTGCACATTTTGCTTGTTGCACATTTTGTTTATTTCATAAAAAACTGCAAGTGATACGAATGCCATCTATGGCCAAACATTTTCATTATGAAAGAAAGCTAGACATTAATTTTCATAGTTTGACACTCTTAGTCATAAAGTTTTCATGCACATTTTTTGAATTTAAAAAAATTTTGGGCCACTCTAAGACGTAATTTCGGCGTAATTTTTGATTAATTAAGAAAAGCCAAAATGACCCATTTTTGGGGTAAAATTTCGAACCCGAACTTCGCAAAACAAATTACATCATATTAATTCTGCTTAAGTTTCAAGCAAAATTTGTCTTCAAAAGTTTTCACGTAAACTCAACCCAAATTGAGAAAAATGCGTTTTAAGTTTCAAGTTTAACGCGTTTTGTCCAGTTAATTTAAATCAGCACTGTACATTTTGCCTGCACATTTGGCTTTTTGCATCTTTTGCTTGTTGTACATTCTGCTGGTTGTACATTTTGCTTGCACTTTTTGCTTGTTGTACATACTGCTTGCACATTTTGCTTATTAAACAATTTTCTCGCACATTTTGCTTGTTTTACATTTTGCTTGTTGTACATTTTGCTCGCACATCTTGCGTGTTGTACGTTTTGCTTGCACATTTTGCGTGTTCTACATTTTGCTTGTACAGTGCTGATTTAAAATAACCGGACAAAACGCGTTAAACTTGAAACTTAAAACGCATTTTCCACAATTTGGGTTGAGTTTACGTGAAAACTTATGAGGACAAAACTTGCTTAAATTTTTAGCAGAATTATTATGGTGTAATTTGTTTTGCAAAATTCGGGTCCGAAATTTATCCAAAAAAAAGGATCATTTTGGCTTTTCTTGGTTAATCAAAATTACGCCAAAAAAAACCAGTCGATCACAGATTTAATCATATTGAAATGAGCCCCTTACTTAGCCCAACAAACATTAAGCAGGGTATACTCTCCAAAAAAATCTGCAAATTGTTTAAAATTGCTTTTAAATGAATAGTTGGTATTTTTATAGTAATAGCGACCTTTTTTGTCTATCAATTAAAAAAAATAACATACACGTTGTTTTGGAGAAAATGCATAACTTTTGATTAACTAAATAAAGCCAAAATGGCCCATTTTTGGGGTAAAATTTCGGACCAGAATTTCGCAAAACAAATTGAACCATAATATTTCTGATAAAATTGTAAGCAACTTTTGTCTTCATAAATTTTTCACTAAACTCAACCCAAATTGAGAAAAACGGGTATTAAGTTTCAAGTTTTACGCGGTTTGTCCGGTTAATTGAAATCAGCACTGTACATTTTGCTTGCACATTTCGCTTGTTGTACATTTTGCTTGTTGTACATTTTGCTTGTTGTACACTTTGCTTGCACATTTTGCTTGTTGTACATTTTGCTTGTTGTTCATTTTGCTTGTTGTACATTTTGCTTGTTGCGCATTTCGCTAGCACATTTTGCTTGTACATTTTGCTTGCACACTTTGCTTGTTGTACATTTTGCTTGCATATTTTGCTTGTTGTACATTTTGCTTGTTGTTCATTTTGCGTGTTGTACATTTTGCTTGTTGCGCATTTCGCTTGCACATTTTGCTTGTACATTTTGCTTGCACATTTGGCTTGTTGTACATTTTGCTTGTTGTACATTTTGCTTGTTGTACATTTTGCTTGCACATTTTGTTGATTTCATAAAAAACTGCAAGTGATACGAATGCCATCTATGGCCATACAAATTCATTATGAAAGAAAGCTAGACATTAATTTTCATAGTTGGACACTCTTAGTCATAAAGTTTTCATGCACATTTTTTGAATTTAAAAAAATTGTGGGCCACTTTAAGACGTAATTTCGGCGTAATTTTTGATTAATTAAGAAAAGCCAAAATGACCCAATTTTGCAGTAAAATTTCGGACCCGAACTTCGCGAAAAAAAATTACATCATATTAATTCTGCTAAAAGTTCAAGCAAAATTTGTCTTCATAAATTTTCATGTAAACTCAACCCAAATTGAGAAAAATGCGTTTTAAGTTTCGAGTTTAACGCATTTTGTCCAGTTAATTTAAATCAGCACTGAACATTTTGCCTGCACATTTGGCTTTTTGCATCTTTTGCTTGTTGTACATTCTGCTGGTTGTACATTTTAATTGCACTTTTTGCTTGTTGTACACACTGCTTGCACATTTTGCTTGTTGTACATTTTTCTCGCACTTTTTGCTTGTTTTACATTTTGCTTGCACATTTTGCTTGTTGTACATTTTGCTCGCACATCTTGCGTGTTGTACGTTTTGCTTGCACATTTTACTTGCACATTTTGCTTGCTGTAAATTTTGCTTCCACATTTTGCTTGTTGTACATTATGCTGTTGTACATTTTGCTTGCACACTTTGCTTGCTGTAAATTTTGCTTGCACATTTTGCTTGTTGTACATTTTGCTCGCACATTTTGCTTTTTTTACATTTTGCTTGCACATTTCGCTTGATGTACATTTTACTTGCCCATTTTGCTTGCACATTTTGCTGGTTGTACTTTTGGCTTGTTGTTCATTTTGCTTGTACATTTTGCTTGCCCATTTTGCTTGTTGCACAATTTGCTTGCACATTTTGCTTGCACATTTTGCTTCTTGCACAATTTGCTTGTACATTTTGTTTGTACAATTTGCTTGCACACTTTGCTTGTTGTACATCTTGCTTGCACATTTTGTTGGTACAATTTGCTTGCACACTTTGCTTGTGGTACATTTTGCTTGCACATTTTGCTTGTTGCACATTTTGCTGATTTCATAAAAAATTGCAAGTGATACGAATGCCATCTATGGCCATACAAATTTATTATGAAAGAATGCTAAACACTAATTTTCATAGTTGGAGGCTCTTAGTCATAAAGTTTTCATGCACATTTTTTGAGTTTATAAGAATTATGGGCCATTTTAAGAGAATTGCAGTTTTTTTTGTCAACCGGGGACAGCAAAAACATCAACAACACAAGAAACAACTGCAACAGCAACAGCAACAGCCGATGCTTTTTTGACGGGCACTTTTTGTCAAACATTAAGGCCGAATTAACTTTAATTAGATGTTAAAAACGAGTAATTTTATTCGTGTTTTTTCTACAGAAATTTTAGTAAACTCTTTGTTTTGCCAGGCCTCTGAAATTCTTGTATCTAAAAAAAACATGGAAGTTTTTTTGTTTTTTCTACAGAAACACTCCAACAAACTCTCTGTTTTGCCAGGCCTCTGAACTTCATGTATTTAACAAAATCAAACTTTAATCGTATTTTCTTCTAAAAATTTCCAGTTTTTTTCTACTCTACCATTATTTTTAAGCTGAGTCATTTCAGGAGATTTAGTTCAGCGTTTTATTTCATTTAGGCGATCCAAATTGTGTAATCAGCACAAAAACACTCGCGTATTATATTGATTAATTCATGCATTAAACTAAAAAACTGGTCTGCACCTGTCGCAAAGTGAACAAAAAATGGCCCTTATGAACAAAATTCACGTGCACGTGATAAAAAACCAACTGCGTGCGCACACAAAACCTTTAAAAATGTTCCTTGAATTTTCAATTTTCCTCTCTTAATATATATTTAAAAAAGAAAAGCCAGGTTATTATTGTGATTGATGCGTTTTAGTGGTTATATCATCAAATAAAAAAGGAAAACAAAAAGTGAACTGAATTTTTAACTGGATTATTACACAGTAATTTTCATCTAATTGCAATTCCCTTACTATTAAATTATATTTAATAACTCCTTAGAATTAACTAAAATCAACCTTTTCTCGTAAAAAGTAGTTCAAATTAAAAACAAATTTCTTTGCCAAACCGTTTCTACATCTCCAAAAAAATTTCATTTCTTTCAAAAGACTTTGAGACAGCACTTACTTTGAAAAGAAACGACAAAAACTTCTGAGGACTGTAAGAGATTGTGAAATTAATCATCCCTGTCAATCTTCAAAAAAAAATTCTTAATCTCTGCACATCAACTGACCTATAGATGGCGTCTCTAAGTCTTGGCCAAGATCTGAGCGAAGGTGAGTTAACCCGAGTTGACCAAAAAAGCTAATCATACAATTTCAATGTAAGGACAAATGCAAAAATGCTATCATACCAACTTTTTGAAATTCCAGATATAAAGCAAGTTGTACGAAAGGTCTATAATGAGTAAGTTTTCATATATGAATTTTTTATGACTAGCTTTTTTTATCATAAACCAAAAACGCGTTTTTTTTTTAATTTTTCTCAAAATTTTTGGGTTGTATTCGTAACCGATTACATGAGACAACAATCCTGGTTACTCAAAGCTTGAGTCAGCAAAGAAAAAACGTTCTTGCATGTACAAAGCCTTGAAAACGACCCGAATATAGACAACTCACTCAAAGAATATTAATGTGAAAATGCCATACTTTTCAAGTTTGGCAAACATTTTCTAAGAAGTAAATTTTTTGAATTTGAACTTTAAGTTTATTCATTCAATGCCCAGGGCATACAAAAAAAAGCAACAAAAAAAAATTTCTGAGCAATTTCGAAAAAAAAATTTCCCAGAAAAGGAAAAATTATTGTTTGGGTATCCAATATTACGTTATGCACCAAAAAATACCTCAATTTTGACGCCAAAATTTTTTTTGAACAAAAATTTAATCTAAATCACATTTAGTTTTTGCTTTAAAAATACAAAAAATCAAGTGCAGTTTTTAGAGTTTTAGTGTCGCTATCCTAAAAACGCTAGTCATACAATTTCTATGAATGGAAGTTGTAGGACTGAAGCTTTTTGCATTGTGACACCAAAAACTTTTATTAAGAACAGTGAGCGTACTTTTATTTACACTAACTGACAAAATTAAACGAAAGTTCACATTTTTACTCTCTAAAAAGCCTTAATTAAAGGACCGTTTTTAAATATTTCCTTCAATTTATAACAAAATTTTACATCTACAGAAAGAAAATGATCTGAAACAACCTCGCTGAAAGTCTCAGTTTTTAATTTGAAGACCTTACCAGCTTTACTGGGTCTCAAAAAACCAGTTTTCATCACCAGCACTAAATTTGTCAAAACGAGTGAAATTGTGAGAAACAGCTGAAACTAGGAAAATTATCACAATGATTTTTCCAATTTTCTTGCTGAGATTGTTTATCGTCGCATGAACAACTATTTTACTCCGTTTGTTCGAGTAATATTTCACTAGGCGGTGAAAACTGGCATTTTCAGACCCGGAAAAAAACTGTGAACTGCTTCAATTTAAAAATTGAGACTTTCAAGGAAGGTGTTTTAGATAATTTGCTTTCGGTTGAAGTAAAAAAGTTAAAGTTCCAAGTAAATATTGTCCAAAATGGTCCTTTAAGTTCAGCTTTTTAGAGGGTGAAAATTTGAATTTGCGTTTAAGTTTGTCCACTAGTGTACGCTTTGTTCAGGAAACAGTCTTGAAGTTTGTTCACGCTCAATTTTGATTTTTCGTGGTTTAACTTGTGAGTTTTTATTTTAATTCAGTGCTTTTCAATAATTAAAAGGAAGGCTAACTCCACTCGAACAGCAAAAATGTACAGGTCGCAAAAAACGTGATCGACTTCTAATTTCGAAGATGGAAATTTTTTATCAGATTTACGAAAGAAATAAAAATTTTACCATTGGATCCAGTTTTCTCAAATTGGGTTTTGTTTAAAAAAAGTGTCCATCATAAATTGTTATACAAAGCCAAAGAGCTTTAAAGCCATTTATTTTTTCTTTGAAATTCAAAAATTTTAGCTTCAGTTTCTTTGCATTACTTCCTTCTCCGTTCTCTTTCCCAATTGCCAGTTGGCTATTTTTTATGATGATACACAAATTTTTATGCCAACACAACAAAAAACTTCTTTTGAAGTTCAATTATTTCATTTATACAAAAAATCTATTAAATATGTATAACTCGGATTTTTTGACTTATCAACCAGATATATTATATGAAATTTCATTTTTGTTCTAATGAGGTCAGGTCAACCTGGTAAAGCAATTTGAATAGCAAAGTAAGTAAAAGTGTCGGTTTTCCAAATAGTCGAAAAGGTCAATTTCTGGAAAAACTGAAAACTGATTGACTCTTTTGTGTTGCTTTGACGCATACGTGTACAGAGGAAAAATGCAAAAATTGAAAAAGTATTTAAAAACTGGTCGACAAAACTGAACACAGTTACATATTCTCAATTTAGAAACAGTTATCATATTCTGAAAACTGGCGTTTTCAGAAGCTGAAGAAACTAGAATTATTGAGATTCAAAACATTTTAGAGGGTAACTCATACCATTATCTAGATCGATGAAAAAAAAGAATATCATCTCTATGCAAATGTCATTCACCCATCTTGGTCCCTAAAAATAACAAAGAGAGTAGAAACTGGTGCTTCCACCTGTGATTTTGAAAAAAAATGGACAAAACAAAGCTTCATTAAGACTAACTTTAAACAACAAAAAAAGTTAAACAATTTTTCCAAAATTTTCTTTTTGTGAGGTCAAATTGGTAACGCCATATACAGTTACTGTTCAATCATGGGTATCCAATCATGGTAATTGAAAAAAAAACGGACTCAAATAGAAAATGACAAACCCATTTGAAAAAAAATGAAGACAAAGAAAGCAACTTGCTCTGCTTTTAATTTTGAATATTTAACTGTTTGTTTCTGTTTTTCTACTTAATTTCAATAAAAATGCAGCTATTTAAAAAATATTTAAAAAACACAAAAAAATATACGTTTTTTTTTTCTTCAAATTTATGAACATTTAGAATCCTAGAACTAGATAAATTAACCCGCAATGAAATCCCATGAATAATAACTGAATAAACAGTAAATTAATTGATTTGATTGGAGTATAAATCAACTATAGATCAAGCAAATTAGAAATCAATTTAATCCATTTCAATAGATTATAATGGATCATAATTGATGCTAAGGTTTATAATAGATGAAGATCTTTTTATAACAAGAACTTAGATTGTCCAAAATCTTTCCGTATATACCAAAATGTGAAAATTGTAGTGGTTAAAACGAGATTTACATTTGTCTTGTAGAAAAACTCTTTTGATTTTTCTTTCTGTTTTAAATTTTGGGTATCTCTCCTTTCCTCCACAACTTAGCCCACATTTAATTTTTCGCACCATTCTAACTTTTTTCACTGACTACCAACTCCCCCCTCACACACACTTACCCCCTTGCGCACATTTATGCCTCCTATATACATTTAAGTTATGGCACTAAGTGTTGGGTTGGGGTTTCGTGGGGTTGGGGGAAGGAAAAGAGGGGATAAATGTGGGATAACGGGGGTAAGTATGGGGTTGCTCATTTTGGGCGTCAAAAATGAGAATATGGGTATCAAAAGTCTGAGGGACATTGTTTCTCAAAAACTAGGTAAATGTGAGTAAGTTTACAAATCAAATAGGCTGTGAGTCATGCAGAAATCTAAATATCCAAAAAAATTTGGAGAAAAAATCATTGAGATTATAATCCATTATAATGGATTTTAAATTTTTCAAAGTTGATTTAAATTTTTTGAAAAAAATGATTATAACCGATTATAATCAATTGCGTGGTCCGAAAGTGTAATTACAATCTGTTATACTGGCATTATTTTTGAATGCTAAAGTCGATTATGCTCGATTACTATCCATAGAGCCTCGGTGTGAGAAGATTCATGGCCTTATAAAAAAAAGGTTTGTCTAATTGACATAATTGCTGAAATATGCGAGAATTTTTGCTGTAAAATAGTCTCAATTTTTCAGAAACACTTTTTTAGGACAACTGTTATAGAATTAACTGGTTTGAAATCCATATCACGCGGACTGAAAGCATTTTAAAACGAGATTGCACACTTACCCGTGCAATTTTCCTGATAACCCGCAAAACACACCAAGGAGATCGTTTATAAAGTTGGAGTATATACAGGCTATGTGTCCCATGCATTAGCCCTATAAAAACAACTATTTTTGTAGCTGACGTTCAAGTTGCAGAAACTAAAACTAGTTTATTTTTTTCTCTCGGCGCAATTCTCACGCATCACAAGAGCAAATAGTTATAAACTCCGATTCACACTCAAACAATTTAATTCAGTTCTGGACGATTTTAAGCGTAGCGCACAAAGCTTCCAGTACTTCGTTGCAAAAGATCTTGTATTTTGGCCAAAACTGCATCCAAGATTGTTGTTTCAAATGCCTGTACTTTCAATTTTGGACCAAGATAACATCCTCCCACTAAGCAATTTAAGGGGGGGGGGGATGATGTTAACTTGGTTCTCAACTTTAATTTTCAACCAATCACCAAAAGATCATCAAAATATTCAGACGAGCCTGAACACGGGTATGTACATTCAATGGTTTTCTCTCAGGCAGTTTTTTTACGAAATTGTCATTGTGTGAATTTTTGCAGAATTACAGTCTGAAAAAAAAAAATTTTTGTCATTATAAATGGTATTTTCAGAGGAGATTCAGAAGTTTGTGCACTTGGCCAAACTGGCGGAGAGTGTGGAGAGGTATGAGGACATGGCAGAGTACATGAGGGTCATAGTCACTTCCCAGGACCATAGACTGTCCACTGAGGAGAGGAACCTCTTCAGCGTCGCATTCAAAAACGTCGTCGCTTCCAGAAGGTATTCACCTATGGTTAAAATTACCATGGCGGCGCAGAAATCTTTGGCAAAATTGCATCCTTATACTGTTTGTGGTGGCCAAGTGGCTTAATTGTTTTCCTCGCAATCGCAAGCACGGTGGTTCGAGGCCTGCCGTGACCCAAGATCGCTGCTTGAGGATTGGGCAACGGCTCACATTTTCTGAAGATCTTTCTTCTCTCAATGAGCCGAACAGCTCTTATGTTTGAGTACTTTACCGCAAAGATAAATGATCTTTAGCTGACACCTACAAAGTAGCAAAGTAGCGGACAATTCTCAGTACATTCATTAATACTGATCTCTGATGGGCGACGGGTAGTTTTTTCGCGCATTCGATTTTTTATTTAAGAAAATTTATCCACAAGATAAAAGACTAAGATACGAGCTGTTCAGCTCCTCGCGGAGAACCGCCGTTGTGCACCTGCTTAAAATCTACATGCATTTTTTGGCTGCTTTTCTGGGCTTGGTAATGTTGAGACAACCTTAAGCAATAAGCACTGATCATGGTGGGCCTCGAACTTCCAACCCTTAGATTAAGAGGTGGAGACGTAATCAATTCACCACCACTGCACTTAGGTTTATCGCGCATAAAGGATCCCCCCACTGGGTTAATTTGATGTTGGTTAGGTCCGGGTGGCGTCTGTCTTCCACGTTTGAGAAGAAGGACAAGGAGGGGGGCAAGGAGAGTGTGGTGTTGGCAGAGGCAGACAGGATCTACAAGGAGAGAATGGAACAGGAGCTGAAGCGGGACTGCAACGAAGTTCTCGTGAGTCACTATTGGTTAACACTTATTACATTATGATATTATTAACTAAAATTAACTGTAATATTCATTATAAAATAATAATTGATAATATTTATTAATTGTAACTTAATGATAAATGATAAAAGTTCCCGGGTTGACCAAAAATGCTTATCATACAATTCTCATAAGTGGAAAATTTCTTTTCATACAATTTCATACAATTCCATACGTACAGAAAATTGTATGAAAACTCTATAATAAACATTTTTCCATAAATGGAAATTCTATGATAGGTGTTTTCTCTAGAAACCAAAAAGTTTTTTGTTTCTAAATTTATTTTCTGAAAAATTTTCGGTTGTGTTTGCAACCGAACACAAGTGACAAAGACATTGGTTACTCAAAGCACCAAAGGTTGGACGGTCTTGCATTTACAATGCATGAAAAACGACCTGAATTGTCTTCTAGATGTCTTTCACAAGTGATATAACAAAAGCAACAAACTTTTAATTTTTGGCAAAATTTTTCAGTGATGATTATTTTAAATTTTTGAATTTTCAAATTATCAGACATTGATCAAGGCATACATAAACACGTCATTCAAAGTTTTAAGTGAAAAGAAAAACAAAGCCAATATTATCGTATCAAGGACTACGTTATGCACACAAAAAAAACTAAATTTTGCATGCAAAAAAAAATTTTCGGAAAATGTTTGTTTGCGTACAAAATTCGATTTGCGGTTGAAAAAAATACAAAAAAAATTTGGGGTAAATTTTCGAAACTACTTGAAAAAAAATTTGTGTCGCCATCAAAAAATGCCATTCAAAAGTCATACAATTTCCATATATGGAAATTGTAAGGAAAGCATTTTTTTCAAAAAAAAATATTTTAAATCAATTTTTTTTTGTCACCAGTCTGTTCAACTGTTCTCAAAAAGCCGCAGAAGTGGTTTAATTTTTTTTCTATTGTTTTTCGAAATTGTATTAAAATTGTATGACAAGCATTTTCTCCATACACTTGATGTGTGGATTTGGAGGATAATGATTTTTGTTGTATGGAAATGTATGATAAGCATTTTCGGTGTATGGAGGTCAACCCGGGTTAAGAATTGTGAATAATTGATAATAAGTGATAATATCTGATGATAGTTAAAACCAAAAAGATTTAATTTAATAATTATTTTCAAGTAAAATCTTGATAAAAAACAATGTAGAAAGTTACAGTTTTCTGACAAGACCCTCACTTGAGATATAACCACTAGACTAAATGTTGATTTCGGAAAGAAGAAATAACTATGAAATCAAATCGCTCTACTATTAAAGCAGAACTAATCTATTTCCTTGGGTTCTAATTTAAAGCAAAAGCACCGTTTTTTGTTTTTGGGGCTTACAAGCGTTAACCAATTTTATTGCATTTTAAATCGACTCAAAGCTTTTTCTGATAGAAACAACAAGAGTTTGAAAGAAATGAGAAGCGAATTTTAGTTTATAACACGCTTCTAGTTACAAGGGAGGACCGATTGATTAGCAGACCAATTTTTCAGCACAAAAAGTGAAAAATGAATCTTTCAGGAGACCAACGTTATAAACTGATGCGTGATTGATTGAAAGACTCAAAAAGACGCTCAGTCTTGGTTCAAGCTTCCCCAATTAAAACAAATGCCTCACAATTTTTCAAGAAAACTACCAAATTCAAAAATACAACAGTCTAAATTAGCAGCAAAAAGAAGTTCACGCGCACAATAATACTCATGCCAAACGTAAGTGGCGCGGAGTAAGCCGTCCTTAATCGTCAATGCCGCGTTTGAAGCTAGCTTTCTGACTTGCTGATTGTTCTAAGTGTACTAAAAGATTTGTCTCGCTAAAAATCCAGTCTGCTAAAATTTCTAGCACCTTAGTGAGGCAAAGCTCTAAATGTTCATACTGGCCCTTAAGTGATCTCTAACAGTTTTGTTCAATAACGTCTTTTGATAAGCTACAATTTTTAGATTGTCAAAACTTTAAAAAGTGCTATAATTTAAGTCGATTAAACTGATGGATTAGTTTGCCTCAAATCAATTTGGAACAATAATGAATGCGGGATAGTTTGCAGCGCAGAATTAACATGCGCAACTTAACTAATATAATACGAGCAATTTCAACCTCATACAAGCCAGTGGCAAAGACAATAGCTAGTCCTTAATTCCCCAACAAGACTTTAATGTTTTATTCATTTATTCAGACCAATTTCGACAACTAACTTTTAATATTCATTAATATCATTTTTTACCCTTCATACCATTAATACCCTGAGTAAGACTTTAAAATTAATTTCACCAGCGATCTTTTTGGCAAAAATCTGGGTTTTGAAAATTGTCAGTTTGGTCAAAATCTGAACAAAATGATGCTCCTTACAAAATTCATTGGTTTCGCAAAAAAAACGTGAGCGCAAACTAATCAAACGTCGAAAAACAGTGCCTAATTAGTTTGCTCATGATTCAAGTCGTAACACATTAAATTTGAAATTGTTCAAGTTGAATGTGTTGAATGCTGAACTTTCTGGCCGCATTTATAAAAAACCTGTATTTTTTTGATAATAGTGTCGTTTCTTGTGCGGGATGTGATGAAAGAACTTACAAAAGCGTCTAAAATTAGTACTTTGGTCAGAAGCGTTGGGTTGTTTTCAAAACATTATTAAAAAAAAAACGAAAAAAAAACGAAAAAAAATCAAAACAAAAAATTGTGTTTTCTATTTTTCACAACATTTTTTTAAATGTTTTTGTTTTTTTTCCAGTCAATTTTTTGTAATTGAAATCAAGTTTTCTAAGCGTAAATGACAAAGTTTCATATAAATAACGTTACTTATTTGATTATTTCAAACACTCGATTTTTGACTAATACTAAAAATTATTAAAAACAGTTTTTCTCAACACTATGGCAAGTTTTCCAAAAAATTCGAATCACATCTAAAAGGGCTTAAATATGATACATCATTCGGGCCATTCTGATCATTTCTTTTTGTACAGAATTTTGACGCAAAACAAAAAAAATTATGTTTCTCCTCATTTTTAATGGTCAGAACAAAAAATTAGAGTTAGCACATTTAAGCAAAAGTTTCAAGTACACCGGAAATGTAAATTCAGGTATTGCTCAGATTTTGTCTGTGAAGTAATCATAACAGAATTGGTTACTTGTTTCTTACACATTTCTAAGGAAAATTGTTTAGTGGAAAAAGCGTATCCGATGAAAAACAAGGGCTCCGTAAAGTATAAAGGTCTAAAACACCACTCTTTCTCGTTTGACGACAGACTTTTTCATAATGAAACTTAGTCCCACTTTGTTTTGTTTTAGTTATATATTTTATATTTTTTGACAACCCAATCGTTTTACAATTTTCGTACAGAGAGGTGAAACGGAGCTTCGAAAAATTGCGGTACAAAGCAAACGTAAAATTTCAATCTAACGAGTAGAAAATTAGACGGAAATGAAACATTTGAGAAAAAAATGAAAAGAAGTTCAATTTTAGATCTTCTAACAATCTTCTACCGAATAGCGATTCAGTCAAAAATATCATGGTAGACCTTGAGCCGAAAACAAAACAAATGCCACAAAAAAAACACATGGCATAACAAAAGAAGGAAATTGAAAATTTACACCACAGCAACTCTGAATAATTTAGGAAATTCATTATTCGCTCTCAAATTTACACAATGTATTTTGATGAAACCAATAAACGTAAGCAAAAACATTTTTCGGTAAATTGACAAAACAACAAGACTGCCAATTAAAATGAGAATTGTTTAAATCAGACAAAAACTCCAAGCGTTGGAAAAAATGCTGAAAAAATCAGACAAATGAGATCTGACAATTCACTTTTTACCGGTAGTTTTTTACTGCAGTTTCACACAGGTTTGAAAAAAGACAAAGTCCGACCGGATATCGAACCCAGACCTTAAAATGGAAAGGCAACCACGTAACCTCAAGACCAAATGAAAAGGAGCGTTGAAGTTGTTAAGGTTCAAGAATTATGCAAGTTATTTTTTAGAGATTTGTATGGGTCTCATGCACTAAACGCCCAAAATCAAATTTTCTACATCGTAAGCTGTAAATTATGCGATCAAATTTGATTGGGTAATTTTAGCCAATCAAATTCAAGTTAGACGGTCAGGCATTCTGATCAACCTTCCAGCTGAAAAAAATATTAGCTGAAATTCCGAAAATATGGAACTTTGTAAAATAATCAAATTAATTTTCAGATACTTGTGAAACCTTGCCCAGACAAGAAAAACTTAATAAAATGGCTTGACAATACAAAAACTCTTTTTTTTTTATTATTTCGGTTAATAATTATATCTGCTTGAAATGGCAGAAAATGTCGATGGAACTTCCGATGGAATTCAACTACATTAATTTCAGTTCAAGAGACAAAGAAATAATGATTTTGGGCCGTTTAGTGCATAAGACCCAATTGTATTTAAGTTGTTTACGGGAAAAACTCTAGTTCCACAAAACAAGACACTTGCTCTCGCAACTGTAACGAATTCTGGCTTTGAATGCGCTTTATTTTTGTTTTGTTATTTCGCTTTTTCCCGCTTAAATGGTTTCAATTTATGTTAAATTGGCATTGTCAAATTATATTGTACCGTCGTTTGAAATGAAAAATAATTTATTAACCACAAGGCATGAAAAAACTATGACAGCTTCTTGAAGGCCTTGATGTTTAACCATGCCCGACCAAATTTATGTACATACCCGGTCAATGCTTGACCCAAACTTCCGTCTCGTCAGTGCATTTTTTCTCCAGCTCTGACATTGTGCTAGACTTTGCAAGTCCAAGTAAAAAGTGAACTCCTGTTGTTGGTATTTTTAGCTGCAAATAATCACAATCGTCCATTTCAACTTTGTTCAATTTTGTTTATATCCAGTACACCAAGTTGAGTTCTTGGAATTGGACCAACAATGATGCTGTTAATGGTTGTTCAATTGGGCTCTTGTCACGTATAGTCACCAGCCTTGTAGCAAAAATATATATAGCCCGATAATGAGACAGTTTTGTGTATTATTGGTGGGTGAAATGGGAAAAATTGTTTAACTCTGCTTCAGGATCTGATTGGGAAATATCTGAGTAATGATGATGACATTGAGGAGACGAAGATTTTCTACCTGAAGATGAGGGGGGACTACATCCGCTACATGGTGGAGGTCTGCGAGGAACAGGACAAGAAAACAGGCAAACATTATTTGCTCACCCACTCTTTTTATCATCTGATAGTGATTATTCTTCAGAAGCAGACGTCTTTACGTTTGCTTTGATCTATATGAGCTGGTATTAAACCAAAATTTGGTTCTAAAAAACCGTTCTACAATTGAATAAATATTACAGCCAGGAGGGGATCTATGGTCAGCCCCCCCCCCCCCCCCAAAAAAAAATCCGTTACTGATTGCAACTAATATAGGTGGTTTGTGATGGTTTTGAAAAATCTGTTGGAAACTTGGTTTGAAACTTCTGGTGGTTTACAGAATTGATGGAGCAGGCGCAAAAGTTCTACGACGAGGCCTCCCAGATTGCCAGTTGTCTGGCTCCCTGCAACCCCGTAAGACTTGGACTGGCTCTCAACTACTCCGTCTTCCACTACGAGATCAAAGAGAACGCCGCACGTGCCAGGGAAATTGCCCAGGAGGTTACTGTCTCGGGTTTTTCCCATTATAGTCTCCCCTTTGTAAAAAAAAACCCGAAAAAAACACAAAAATCAGCGTCTTTATAACAGTTTATTTAATGAAAAACGCTTTTTTATTTCAAGACTGTATGCCAAAAATGATTGAAAATCAAAATGATGTTGGATTTTATTATCAAAAAGGCATCTGCATAACAAAGATTCCACTAAATCAATTTTTATTTGGTACCATTTCTTTGACGCTAGTTCTTTCTTTGCAAAAATTTACTAACCGATAAAGGCTAAAAATAAAAGACCTAACTCCGCGGACTGTTTTCAACACTTTTTGACTTCAAAAATAACTAGCTCAATGTATGATTTTTCATTTTTTTAAAAAAATTATTGCAATAATGTGTTGTTCAGCCCACTGGATTCGCAATAATATTTTATTGTACAGCCGCAGTTTAGTGTCAATTGAATATTAAACATGCCTGGGGAGCGGTGGTGAAGTTGTTACGTCTCAGAAATTGTGAATGATGTCGGATTTTATTATCAAAAGGGATCTACATATCTACAGGGATCTAAAATGTTCCGTGCTCGTTGCTTGAGGGTGAAGCTACATTACCCAGCCCGGAAAAATAACCAAAAAAATTGCATGTAGTTCTTAAACAGGGGCACAACAGCGGTTCGCCGTGATGAGCTGTACAGCTCGCCTGTGTTGGTCCTTTCCACCGTGGATAAATGGTCTTAATCTAACCCTGAGTCATACACCTGTAATTAATCAATGGTGACTTTGTTGTTGTTTGCAGGCGTATGCACTGGCCATTCCAGAGCTGGACAACTTGAGGGACCCAGAGTTTAAGGACAGTGCCCTCATAATGCAACTCCTCCGAGACAACCTCTCTGTAAGAACGACTAGAATCGGACCAGTTAACCGATTCCCCCTTAACAAAATTAGAGAGGGTATCGTTCACTTGGTTATAGTAAATATTTTTTAGCCAAACAGAATTGACCATAGTAAATAATAATAATATAATAAATTGTTTCCAAACGATATAAATACAAATTAGAATCGTTTGGGAGAACGCCATTAAGCCAACAAGGCCCGTTTTCAGGCCTTACTGCTTGAATTTGCTATTTTTTTAAGGGGGACATTGTTCGTTATGCCTATTCAGGGGGTGGGGAGATTGTTCACATGGGCCCTAGAATCTCTTGATCACGCCTAGCTTAGATCAAGGATTGCTCTATATTCTCCAAAGCAAAAATAAATCAAAACATCTACATTTGGTACCGTTAGTCCCTATACTCAATGATCTGAAAATTTTTTTTTACTCCCCCCCCCCCCCCATTATATCCCCTGCCCGGTTAATATCAAAATATATTCCAAGCACAGCGTGACTTTTGTACTTGTGGAGGATGGAAGAAAAGGAGCCCTAAAATAATCGAAACTATAGACAAGTTGATATCAAAGTAATGTCGCGATTTATCTGTTTTGGGTCCTTAATAATTTCCTTAATATACTTTTCTGAAAGTTTTTTTGAAACTTTTTTCCTTTTTTTTCAGCTGTGGACGGAAGCCGAAGTAGAGCAAGACCAGGAACAGGAGTTGGGGGTGCAACAGTTGGACGAATGACCAAACAGCCTAACAACAGCAGAACCGCACCCCCTTCTTCTATAGCCCCGCCTATCACACATTTACATCGTCCTAATTATTAAGCAAACGCCCAATAGAGTTGACGTATTCGAAAAAAAATTTGCGTTTTGAACAGCGTGTTAAGTAAACATTGTGTATAAGTTTATTTGTAATGAGTTATTAAACCATCTGTATAAATTTTGAATCTGGACAATTAATACTCCGTTTTCTATTAATTTTTTCACAGAGGCCAACGAAAGAGTTGTTAATAATCAAAATGTAACAGAAGAAGCAAAAAACAAACAGTGACTGAGTGAAACAGTATCGAAAAAAATGTAGTTCAACCCAACCGAAAATCATCAGTTGTCGGCAATGTTGGGCACTTTTCGATTTCGGCATTTTTGTACTTCGGCGGCACCAAGGAACATTTTTTGATTTCAGCACAGTTGAACACTTTCCAATTTATGCATAGTTGAAGTTCGTCGGCACTTTTGAACGCTTTTCAATTTCGGTAACATTGCTCTTCGGCTGCACCGTTGAACACTTTTCAATTTCGGGAGAGTTGTACAATTTTCAAATTAGGCATAGTTGTTCTTCGAAGGCGCTGTTGACACTTTTCAATTTAGGCACTGTTATAATTCGGCGGCCCTTTTGAACTCTTTCCAAGTTCGGCATTATTGTACTTCGGCCGAACTGTTGAACACTTCTTATTTTCGGCACCGTTGAACACCTTTCGATTTCGTCATTTTTCATCCTTCGGTGGCACCGTGAAGCACTTTTAGATTTTAGCATAGTTGAACACTTTCGATTTAGGCATAGTTGTACTTCGGCGTTATTTTTGAACAATTTTCAAGTTCGGCATTGGTGTTCTTCGGCGGCAATTCGTCTCAGATGAACACTTTTCGATTTTGGCATAATTGTACTTCGGCGGCTTCTTTGAGTACTTTTCAATTTAGGTACAATTCTACTTCGACAGCACCGTTGAACTTTTTTCAAAGTCGGAACTTTTGAATACTTTTCAAATTCTTCACAGTTGTACTATGACGGCACTTTTTAACCCTTTTCAATTTCGGCACTGATGAACACTCCTTGATTTCATCATTTTTCTACTTCGGTGGCACCGTGGAGCATGTTTCGATTTCAGCACATTTGAACACTTTTCGATTTAGGCATAGATGTACTTTGGAGGCACTGTTGATTATTTTTCAATTTAGGACTAAATTTAAATCGACGGCACCGTTAAAAACTTTTCAATTCCGGCACTTTTGAATACTCTCAGTTTCTTCACAGTTGTACTTCGCCGGCACTTTTGAACAATTTTCAATTTCGGCATTGTTGTACTTCGACGGCACTATTGGACACTTCAATTTTGGCGATAGTGGACACTTTTTAATTTCCTCAATTTTCTACTTCGGCGGCACCGAGGAACGCTTTTCGATTTCAGCACAACTGAAATCTTTTCAATTTAGGTATAATTCTACTTCGACGGCACCGTTGAATTTTTTTCGATTTGGGAATTTTTGAATACTTCTCAAATTCTTCACAGTTGTACTTTGGCGGCACTTTTTAACCGTTTTCAATTTCGGCACAATTGAACACTTTTCAATTTCTTCATATTTCTACTTCGGTGGCACCGTGGAACATGTTTTGATTTCAGCTCAGTTGAACATTTTTCGATTTAGGCATAGACGTACTTCGGTGGCACTGTTGAACACTTTTCAATATAGGCACAATTATAATTCGGCGGCTCTTTTGAACTATTTTCAATTTCGTCATTATTGTACTTCGGCCGAACTGTTGAACACTTCTTAATTTCGGCACCGTTGAACACCTTTCAATTTCATCAATTTTCTACTTCGGCGGCACCGAGGAACGCTTTTCGATTTCAGTACAGTTGAACATTTTTCGATTTCGGCATAGTTGTACTTGAACGCGTTATTTCGGCGTTATTTTTGAACAATTTTCAGGTTCGGCATTGGTGTTCTTCGGCGGCAAGTCGTCTCAGATGAACAGATTTTGGCATAGTTGTACTTCTGTGGCTTCTTTGAATAATTTTTAATTTAGGTATAATTCTACTTCGACGGCATCGTTGATCTTTTTTCAAAGTCGGAACTTTTGAAAACTTTTCAAATTCTTCAGTTGTACTTTGGCGGCACTTTTTAACCCTTTTCAATTCGGCACAGTTGAAAACTTTTCATTTTCATCATTTTTTACTTCGGTGGCACCGTGGAACATGTTTTGATTTCAGCAAAACTGAACACTTTTCGATTTAGACATAGATGTACTTTGGAGGCACTGTTGATTATTTTTCAATTTAGGATTAAATCTAAATCGACGGCACCGTTAAAAACTTTTCAATTGCGGCACTTTTGAATACTCTCAATTTTTTCACAGTTGTACATCGCCGGCATTTTTGAACACTTTTTATTTTCAGCATTGTTGTACTTCCACCCCACTATTGGACACTTCAATGTTGGCGATAGTGGACACTTTTCAATTTCATCATTTTTCTACTTCGGCGGCATAGAGGAACGCTTTTCGATTTCGGCACAACTGAATTCTTTTTAATTTAGGTATAATTCTACTTCGACGGCACCGTTGAACTTTTTTCAAAGTCGGAACTTTTGAAAACTTTTCAAATTCTTCAGTTGTACTTTGGCGGCACTTTTTAACCCTTTTCAATTTCGGCACAGTTGAAAACTTTTCATTTTCATCATTTTCTACTTCGGTGACACCGTGGAACATGTTTCGATTTCAGCTCAGTTGAACATTTTTCGATTTAGGCATAGACGTACTTCGGTAGCATTGTTGATTATTTTTCAATTTAGGAATAAATCTAAATCGAGGGCACCGTTAAAAACTTTTCAATTTCGGCACTTTTGAGTAATCTCATTTTCTTCACAGTTGTACATCGCCGGGACTTTTGAACACTTTTTATTTTCAGCATTGTTGTACTTCCACCCCACTATTGGACACTTCAATGTTGGCGATAGTGGACACTTTTCAATTTCATCATTTTTCTACTTCGGCGGCATAGAGGAACGCTTTTCGATTTCGGCACAACTGAATTCTTTTTAATTTAGGTATAATTCTACTTCGACGGCACCGTTGAACTTTTTTCAAAGTCGGAACTTTTGAAAACTTTTCAAATTCTTCAGTTGTACTTTGGCGGCACTTTTTAACCCTTTTCAATTTCGGCACAGTTGAAAACTTTTCATTTTCATCATTTTCTACTTCGGTGACACCGTGGAACATGTTTCGATTTCAGCTCAGTTGAACATTTTTCGATTTAGGCATAGACGTACTTCGGTAGCATTGTTGATTATTTTTCAATTTAGGAACAAATCTAAATCGAGGGCACCGTTAAAAACTTTTCAATTTCGGCACTTTTGAGTAATCTCATTTTCTTCACAGTTGTACATCGCCGGGAATTTTGAACTCTTTTTATTTTCAGCATTGTTGTACTTCCACCCCACTATTGGACACTTCAATGTTGGCGATAGTGGACACTTTTCAATTTCATCATTTTTCTACTTCGGCGGCACCGAGGAACGCTTTTCGGTTTCAGCACAACTGAATTCTTTTCAATTTAGGCATAAATGTACTTCGGCGCTACTTTTGAACTTCTATCAATTTCCGCATTGTTGTTTTTCGGCGGAATCGTTGAACAATTTTCAATCTCGGCACAGTTGAACATTTTTCAATTTAGGCATAGTTGTTATTTGGCTGCTACCTGGAACACTTCTCAATTTCAGCACAGTTGAACACTTTTCAATAGAGGCATACTTGTACGTCAGCCGCACTTTTTAACACTTCCCAATTATTTCAGCGCAGATGAAAACTTTTCAATTTTATCAATTTTTATGATTCGGCGGCATTGTTGAACAGTTTTCGATTTCAGCACAGTTGAACATTTTTAATTCAGGCATAGTTGTAATTCGGCGAATCTTCTGAACACTTTTCAATGTCTTCAGTTGTAATTCGGCGACACTTTTGAACACTTTTCAAATTCGGCCTTGTATTACTTCGGTTGCACTGTTAAATCTTTTTTTAATTTCAGCACCTTTAATCCTTCTCAATTTCGCCACTTTTTGACCTTAAGCTGCACTGTGGAAAAATTTTCGATTACATTGCAGTTAAACATTTTTCAATAGAGGCATACTTGGACTTCAGTGGCTTTTTTGAGCGCTTCTCAATTTCAGCACAGTTCAAAGTTTTTCAATTTCACTAATTTTTTTTTATGTTGGCGGCACCGTGGAACACTTTCCGGTTTCAGCACAGTTGAACACTATTCAATTTAAGCATCGTTGTACTTCGGTGACAACGTTGAACTTTTCCATTTTGGTGTCGTTCTACTTCGGCGGCACCGTTGATCACTTTCCACTTTGGTCATTCTTTGTACTTACCGGCTTTTTTGAACAATTCTCAAATTCAGCGCAGTTGATCACTTTTCTCTTTCATCTTTTTTTAAATTCGACGGCAGCGTGGAACACTTAACGATTTCAGCACAGTCAAACAGTTTTCAATTTAGGCATAGTTGAAGTTCGTCGGCACTTTCGAACGCTTTTCAATTTCGGCAATATTGTTCTTTGGCTGCACCGTTGAACACTTTTCAATTTCGGGAGAGTTGTACAATTTTCAAATTAGGCATAGTTTTTCTTCGGTGGCACTGTTGAACACTTTTCAAATTAGGCACAATTATAATTCGGCGGCCCTTTTGAACTATTTCAATTTCGTCATTATTGTACTTCGGCCGAACTGTTGAACACTTCTTAATTTCGGCACCGTTGAACACCTTTCAATTTCATCAATTTTCTACTTCGGCGGCACCGACAAACGCTTTTCGATTTCAGTACAGTTGAACATTTTTCGATTTCGGCATAGTTGTACTTCGGCGTTATTTTTGAACAATTTTCAAGTTCGGCATTGGTGTTCTTCGGCGGCAATTCGTCTCAGATGAACAGATTTTGGCATAGTTGTACATCGGTGGCTTCTTTGAATACTTTTCAATTTAGGTTTAATTCGACTTCGACGGCACCGTTGAACTTTTTTCAAAGTCGGAACTTTTGAAATCTTTTTAAATTCTTCAGTTGTACATTGGCGGCATTTTTTAACCCTTTTCAATTTCGGCACAGTTGAAAACTTTTCATTTTCATCATTTTTTACTTCGGTGGCACCGTGGAACATGTTTTGATTTCAGCAAAACTGAACACTTTTCGAGTTAAAAATAGA